GTGTGCAGACGGGGGGTGGAGCCAGCTCCAGTGCCAGGAACGTAACAGTTTCGTTCCCTATTAAAAGGTTAATTTGTTCAATCTTGACCTGTGGCTTTATTCAGGTGTTAAATTTTGGCCCACTGTGTTTTTGAGTTTGAGACCTCTGACCAGCAGGAACCCAAAATACTCTTAATCCGGTCTGGTTTCTCCTTAAAGACTCCCGTGCGCCCAACAAATTGAGAAAGAGGGACCAAACCTGTTGGGTGACAGGAGGAGAGCCTGTCCAGCGCCCTCACTGCAGCTCCTTTAGCTGTTGTACAGGGAATGAATCAAGTTCAGATCCAATCTGAAAAAAGAACTTCCCCCAACACCACAAATCAGTGCGGCTACTGTAAATTTTAGGAGGGAGAACTCTTCCAATTCCCGCTAATGTCCTGTTCCCTCTGTTTTTAGATGGACCTGAGCTTCACACGTTTATTTAATTCATAATCAAGATGTTTATACTTGTCAATTATTTTTTTCCGATGTCGTCCCCTCTTTTGTCCTAAAATGTGCATTATAGCAAGAGGGACGTCCTGATTTTATGATCAAATGTTGTTCCTTCTCCGATAAGAAGGAAGGCAGGTGTACACATTTGCTAAATGCACTTCTGATTAATTATCTTGTATAGTAGAAAATCTTTGAAAATCTTCTATATAATCCCAATATGTTCATTCATTATGGTTCATCCTAATATGTTTATTAGGATTAGCAGGGGAAATTACGCCCTGCCATAATCTCTCTTCACACCCCCATTTTCACAGGTGCTTCAGGTCTGAAGGTCAGTGACCTCCCTGCGTATGAGCCTCCCAGTGTGAATTTGATGGAGTTCTGAATCTGATGTTCATCTCAACTCAGTGGGAATGGTACCTGAATGTGAACTATCACTCCCCAGATAGTATCCCCCCTGGTTTGATGGGCCAAAAGAATCTGTATACCTCTGTCCAACTGGGGGAATGTCTGTTGTCTCGTCATGTCTTGATTACCTATTGTGTACACCTGGGGTTCCCCTCCCTCATGTGTTTAAATAGTCCTCGTTTCCCATGTCCTGTGCCAGTTCGTTTTCGTCCTTCTTGTTGCGTCTCTCGTCCCTCGTCTCCCCATGTCACGTAAGGTTTTGCTTTTTGCCACAGTCTTGTTAATCTTTATTTTGTTACTTTGTCATAGTCACAGTTTTGCCACAGCCTTGTTTTTGACCCCTGACTGGACTTCCACCCTTTTGAGTATCTTTTGTTACAATAAACCCTGTTTTTCATCTCCGCGCTTGAGTCCTCCCTCAAACCCACCATCCCTGACAGAACGAACTGGCACAGGACATGGGAAACGAGGACTAAACACATGAGGGAGGGGAACCCCAGGTGTACACAATAGGTAATCAAAACATGACGAGACACCAGACTTTCCCCCAGATGTGGAAACCTCTGTATGTATTAGGAGCGAGGAGGCGATTTGTGACCAAATATAGGTAGCTTCAAACTTAACAGATGCTGACTGGATTAGGCTTGGCCCGATCCAATATTTGGATCGGATCGGCCGCCGATATTTGCAAAAAAACGCGGATCGGCCGGCACGACAAAATGCCGATCCAGACTTGCGACCCAGTTTTTTTTTTTTAAGTCTGATCCCACATGAGCATCAGCATCTCCTAGCCCGCAGGGTTGTGTCCTAACCATTAAGTTGTTATAAGAGTAAATCTCTGTTCAACATGAATCTGTCAACTAAGTCAGTAGGCTGAATAACTTTAAACTTTAATACATGCTCTGATAGGCCGGTATCGGTATGGGATTGGAAGTGCAAAAAGCTGGATCGGGACATCCCTAGACACAAGCGACACATTAGGTAGGCCTTCTGTGGCAGAAGCCTGTAGCTGTCAAAATTCCCTTTAGTCTTTATTGAATTGTCTAATGACATCCGGCTACTTGGTTTAACACATGGACATTGAGGTTGTGCAGGTGGTTGCCGGTTGGAGCAGCGATCTTTGGAAACTTTGGAAAGTGGCATAGGTCATCATGCATTTTACATGCAGAGCATGCCAGAAAAATGTCCATTTTAGGGACAAGCAGGTGCTAAAAACTCAGATTTTGTTCAATGTACTAAGCGTAATCTCACCAGCATCAACCCAGATTTGAAATGAGGTCTCTAAAATCCATTCATGGATGTCCATTTTTGGGTTTTGTCTCCCCATTGATTTAGGACATCTACTTCTGTGGCTCTTATAAAACCACATAGTATTGTTTCCAGTTGGAAATGTGTCTAATATTTCCAGGAGGTTAGACCACTAATCCCTGAAAACTGTTGGATTTTTTAACTGTAGCAAATTCAAGTCATATGTGCATATCTTGACATATTCTTAAAAGCGTATTTATTCGTTTTTATGAATGGATTTTTATCTTTTTCATTTTCATTTTGTCCACGTAAATGTATCTCTCCCTCAGCTAAACTGGACATCGCCACGGAGGTGATTGCCGAAAACCTGGGAAAGAGCTGGCACAAACTGGGCCGCAAGCTGCGTCTGGGCGGGGTCAAGCTCGAGTCCATCGCCAACAGACACCCCACCGACCTGGAGGAGACGGCGGTGGAGCTGCTGAAGGAGTGGAGGAAAAGCCAGGGGGCCGGGGCCCGAACGGGCCAGCTGATAAGAGCTTTGAAGGACTGCCAGTTCAACCTGACGGCCGATAAGGTGGAGGAAGCCCTGCACAGCCAGGGCCTCTGACAGAGACTCCCAGATTACACTGCCTTACACAATGCCATGGCATTAAAACAATGAAAACTACGATTGTTGTTCACGGCTGCATGCCGATGCAGAAAATTATTTTTGTGCAGATGATGAATGAATGTGTCAATAAACTATCACCTCGATCCACGCTTCCATCTAAAAGGGGTTGTTGCTATTATTCCAGCCGACACACAGATGTTTAGGGGCCTCCTCTCTAAAGCTGTTCAGTGATTTTTGCTTTCCATACTGGCATTCAAGTGAGCCCCCTGTTACTCTGACGAGAAGCAGGGTAGATATTCATTTATTTTCAAGTCTCTGTTAAAATCAGATGTATGAATATTGTTATTTCTAACAAACAGGTGATCCTTCTATGAAGGAGAAGGTGGTATTGTTGCATTATGGTGTGCCCAGGAGGATAGCCCTACCGTTAAAAGAGTGAAAGGTTTAGTCAAACTCTAGATGTTAACAGCTGATCCTCCGAGAGATTGCATTGCCACGCCCCTTGACCCAGAAGCAGTTCTGGAAATGCAGTTTGATTTGCTGGAGCCCCGGACTGAAGGCCCAGCTGGACTAAAACATTAGCCGTCATTTCACTTAGAAACCAAGAGCTGGGACCATCGTTGAATGTTTAGCTTCCACACAAAGATTTTAAAACTGTTCATTCAGGCCCAGATAATCATCCAAATGAATCGAAACTGTATGAACCGAAGTGTTTGCATATTTTTTATTTTTCAGGCTTGCGGTCAGATGTCAGTGAACGTCTCATCCTTTTGCAGATTCCGCTCTCCATCAGGTCACAGCCACGTTGTGATGTCATCAAGGGGGCCATTGGTTTCTGCAGAGCACATGCATGTCAGTCAAGAAGCCTTCTATCCTCTACTTATTATGTCATCACAGGGGGACAGAGAAATGCACCCGGTTAGGTAACCCGGTGAGGTTCGATTTGCCATCAGTATTATGTAGCGTGTTGTTTCATGTGTGCGTTGTGTCTTTTGTGGTTTTATACTCACAGCACTTGTAGAGTCTGTTCAGTCTGTCGATATCATTCTTGCTCATCTCAGTTGCCTTTCCAAAGGACACGTTGCTATTAGGGATAGGCTCCATGGTTGGGTAGTTGTTCTTGGAGAAGGCGTACCTAAAGCATGGCAGATGGCACACAATCCATAATCAATTTGACTGTGATCACATTCATGGGAACCATCCCTCATGATGGCAGTTGTTTCAGTGGGGTTTCAGAGCGGGTTCAGTTTAGTTGCACACTGATGCGCTAAAGGTAGAAACCTCTAAAGAATCCAGCTACTTCACTGAGTGACACTGTTTTCTTTGGTTTAAGACGTTGAGTATGAGGACCTTTAGGTCTGCCACTGTATTAAGAAACACTTGAGCTTTTGGCTTTTAACTCAGTAGTTATTTCAAACTTTAAAAAAAATGAAAATCTTGTAAATATTTGAACTGCCAGCCAACCGGAGACAAAACAGAGAAGCTTACTGTACCTGTGGTACTGCATGACAGAGTTGTAGTCGTAAGAGGTTCCCTGGTTCAGAGTGGCGATCTTATTGAAATTGTACTTCATGTCTGCAAAGAAGGGAGAAGTTATGACTAGAAAAATGTAGTTTGACAGTGTGTTATGAATCAAATGGACAGCTGTCGCCTTCAGAAAAGTGTGTCACCATCGATGATGTTGTTCCAGTGCACCCTGATGTGGTTGTCCCTGTCGTTGCGGGTCTGCTCGTGGTTGAAGCCCAGGGCGTGGAGGAGCTCATGCTGCACGGTGTTGTGGTACAGGCAGCCCTGTCTGCTCAGAGAGACGGTCTGACCTCCACCCGTACGGCCCACGTACGAGTAGCATCTGGGATCACAGAAACCATTTACAAACTCACTGAAAGAGCCATGGGCTTTTATCAGGATGCGGCCTAAAGACGACTTCAGAGGGCTGGGAACCCCCCGCGAAAATCAACAGCATAAAAAGCATACCAAGTGAGAGGATGGACAAGGCCTTAGTATTTTATCTTGCTTTACAACCTTTGGGTCATTCTATGGTGCATTCAATTGTGTATCCTGTGTCATCTCCTGGATTTCAACAAGCAAAACTACAAATAAAGAATCAGATCTTTACCCGTTCCTGGACTCAATGTTCAGCCATTCACGGTCACCACTGCGGTAGGGTCTGAAACGGATGCACGAGAAGGAGGAGAAGGATTCCAGCCCACGGACGATGATGGCTTTCTCGCGGGAGGCTGTCAACAAGCACAGCGTGTCCAATTATTATGATTAATTGCCCTCATTTATTTACTCTCCAATTCTGGGTCACAGGGAGTCTATCCCAGCTATGATGGGTTACAGTGTAACCGTTACACCAAGGAAAAGTAGTCCAGCCCATCCCAAGAGAGAGATGAAGCACCATGAACGTTCACTAATTCAGGCAGTTTGGAGACACTAGTCAACCTAACATGCATGTTTCTGGGCTGTGGCAGAGAGCAGGTACCTGGAAATAACCCACACTTACGTGGGAGGACATGCAAACTCGCAAAGAATATGTTTCTAATGAATAGCAATGAAAACAGGATGCTCACAGTAGTGGTTCGCAATGTAGTAGGGAATGTAAACCTTCCCGTCAGCGTTTTTCAACCACATGCAGCCTCTGCTGGTGCAGGGGTCAGCATTTTTTTCCCCCTCGGGCCTAACAGCGATGTCTCCTTCAACCAGGGATGGTTCATCGAAGTCAGCAGCTGCAAGATCGGCAGAGATTTGAGGAGCAGTTAGGAGCACGTGATGGATCCGAAATGTTTTTTTTTTCATTTAAAGCAGTGCAGCTAAATACGTGTAAATGTGGAATTCAATCAAGTCTTTTTGTTTTTAATCATAAAAATCTATTTTATCAATCAAATCAATCTCTCTTGAAGAATCTAATATACTCAGCGACTGATTGATGCCCCAAAGACAGCAAACATAACCAACTCACTGCGGTCTCTGTTGGCCCTCTCCAGCAGCTCACCAACAGAAAGCTCCTGGGTGGTGTCCTCCTCAATGGCAGCTACCTCTGTAAACCAGGCCGTGAATTAGACTGTACGATCTTGCACACCTCACCCGCCTTTCCGTTTGAGATCACTGACATTAGCAATGCCACTGCAGAGCAGGGTTCAACTTGGTTGTAATAACACAGTAAATCATCAAATATCTACCAACACGAAACGGAACATTTAGAAAAGATTCATGTCTGGTTGAAGCATAGAAGCTGGATAAATATAGTTATCATTTCTATCTTACCTTCCTGCACACAGTCCCAGCAACATGGAAAAATAAAGGGGAAAAAGTCACAGATTAAAGACAAAATTCAAACAGGCTCTTTTGAATCTGTTGATATAGTACATATATACATAGGTCCATGAATCATTTACCTCTGCCCAGGAGGAGGAAACCAGCAACAGGGCCACAAAAGACCAAGAAAAAACCAACATGGTTGCAATACACCTGCCAAAATGGAGAAATGGATTAAATGTCCATCCAAACAGTCGATGCCACACTGAGGCCTTACAGCGGTCTAATGTGATGAATTCCAAGCTTACCTTAGAGCAACTTGCTTTCCGTCTGCATGCGAGCCCTTTATATGGTTTAAGTTCTCCAAGAACAGACGTCACAAAGTGCAGATCAAGCAGCACATCGTATCACCGTAAACACACATTTCTGAGTACTGTCAGCCCGTGTGAAATTTGCCTTTTGTTCAAACAGACGTTTTTTTCAGAAAGAGGACTCCACGCTAGGCAAAGATTTTCTGTTAAAAGGAATAGCTTTGAGTAAAAGGACGGCTATGACTGTGTGCATTTTGATTGCGTTGCTAACTTAAAGGAGGATACCAGGGACTCTGTCAAAGCTAACACATCTGCCACAATGATTAGTAACTCCCTGCCTGAATACAACGTCCTGTGAGCTTTCTGTTTTTTCTTTCAAGGAGTGAAATGTAATTTTATGATGCCACTCAGTAATAAGACACCCTTGAGAGGCATTCTAAATTACCTGTCTACGGAGCTTGGTCAAAGAGGGGGTGGTCTGAGAGCAATATGTGTCATTTCTGACACTGTACTGACATGTATATCTGTTCAGGAGGATATAAGTGGGATCATATCAGTGACTTTTCACATACATCCACTTCCTGTTTCATGGCAAAACGCCAAAGCTTGAGAGCCCACCGTACTCATATCAAGCCCCTGAAAGTTTCAAATCGCACAGAACATCTGGTGCTGGGAATGCCTAAGCACCCCCAGGTTAAAAGAAAACAACTCATTTAGGACAAATTAAGAAAATTTTAATTTAACCAAAACACTGGACTGAATCTAAGGCTTTCAGGTGACTTTTGCTTCAAACTGGCACCACATGGATAAACTGAATGGCATAAAGTTACATCTGGTTTTAGTAACATAGGGTTAGCGTTAGGGTTACTCTCTGGGGTAGAGTAAGTTTAGTATATTTCTAACACTTACATGTATTTGTGCACAACCTTCATAGCTAATAAAACAAACAAGTATTCACACAGATATAAAGTATAGTAATAGTGTATTAAATAGTGTTATAACAATTCCTTCATCTAATCAGTGTCTTTGTAGCACTAAAGGAGGACATCAGTGGTAATCAGTGGGAAATGTGATTGTACAAAATGCACTACACTGATTCACACGGTTCATTTTGACCTGATGATGGCACTAGATGAAAATCAAACGGCCAACAGTTTTCAGTGTGGAACCGAATGTTGCAGCAACTACTGAAACTAGGCCAGATGTGGAACTACCGAAATTTTAGTTGGCCGTAATTAATTAATGTGCAAGTGAAAACGTGGGAACATTGGCTTTTTGAGATCACTGAAGACCAAAGTATCTAATTAAACTGGTAGAAAGTT